AACTCAAGTAGTCATTTTCCTCTCTTTTTATCAATTAATGCAAACATAAACATGCAGAACATGAAATAATTCACGTTCTGCAGAGTAAATTGGTCAGTAGACTGAGCCACCAAGTTTTATAAGCTGGGTCTAACCCACATCATAAAATATAAATAAATAAACTTAATAAATAAATATTTTTTAGACTGTCTATCAGCTTAGAAAATCAGGTTAGACTAGGCAATTACCCAACCTGACCATATGGGCTTGGGCCTCAAGCCCAATAGACCCGGTCTATATGGTTGGACCATGCTCAACCTAGATATAAGGACATGCTTGGCACACCTCATTTTTTCTTAAAAAATAAGACCTTGTTTGGGTCCTTAAGGCCTATTTCCCAAACATGCCCTTAAGGCATTTTTAATACCTTTGACTTTAGGCTAAGGGTTTGTTTGATAAGCATGCTCTATGCCTTTTTCCTTTAACTATAATTTGTCCTTATTTGTGTGTTAAGCCAAACAAATACTTAAAATTTTCAAAACATTTAGGGACCATTATGAAATTATTTATGGGTCCCTTGCATATTTTTTCAATAATTATTGTCTAATATCGGACTGTAGACATACATTGTAAAATACAAATTTTATATTAAAAACACCTGATTTTTCTCTGAAATTTCAAAAAACAAAATCTCAAAAATTTAAAAAATAATTCCTTTATTTCATAAAACACAAAAACATTTTTTTTCAAGAATTTCATTTAATATTAAACTGTAGACTTACATTATAAAATATAGACCCAGTATTAAAAATACTCAGTTTTTCTCTGAAATTTCAAAAAAAATCCAAAAGGATTAAAAGAATTCCTCATTTCAAAAACATAAAAAATATATATATGTTTTGTATCCATGCATATGGTCAAATTCTAAAGGTTTTTCATGTATATTTAAAAAAAATGTATTTTTATGATGTTTTAAAAAATACAAAATGAATATTGTAACCAGTATATTATTATCCATTAAAGTTTGGCCAAAATACCATAATAATTATTTTTAATTAATATTCAAAGTGATAGGATATAAAGTCTACACCACAATAATTACTTTTAATTACTATTCAAAGTGTTAGGATATAAATGTAGACTTTGATATTTTGAGTATAAAATTATACTGTAATGTGTCAGGTATTAAAAACACAAAAAATAAAATAAATACAATGTTAAAATTTTGATTTTGGAGCAGTTAGAATTTAATTCGATAAAATAGAGACTTCTTCATGAAAATAGATTCGCTTTAAATCCTAAATGAGACCAATAAATAGAAATACGATTTAAAATAACAATCAATCAACAATACAGTTTATCTTAAGTAGAGTATATTGGGGGTATGTGTTTTCCCCTTGCACAACTAGTCCTCTTACCCAGATTCTTGCAGACCATTAAGTTTTCTAGTAATTATAATACTAAATAGCGACTCTCTCAAATCATATATTTATAATTAAACCCAAAACCCTTTAAATTTAATAAGATAGCTCCATCATTTAATATTATGCATGTCACGACATACCTAATCAATCTTTCATTCTCTTCTTTATGTATATAAAACCTCTTGTATGCCTAATATTAACTAGCTTAGTTTTAGGGGTCAATGTAATATTGTGATCCAAGGTTTTTTCTGGAGGTAATTGTTTTGGTTACGAGAAAACCTCTTCAAATTCATTTAATAGTTCTTTAATTGTTGTAGCTTGCACAATTAGACTAGTTTTCTCGATTGCTTTCACATTAAAAAAATTTCCTTGTGAACCCATAAATGGATTCCTTTAAACTCTTTTGTACTTTGGTGGCTCCAAGCTGAAACTAAGCATTCTCTCATATTCCTTTCAATTGTATCATTATACCTCTCTTCCTAAATGACAACTTCATTTTAATGAAGTCGAGTAGAATTGGAGAATGTCTTTTGTAGCCAATTCACTCCTAATCACATCTTTTTAGCCTTATCATTCTTAAGTGACCTAGAAACTCGTAAGTTTTGCATGAACTAGGTCAAACTTTAAGCAATGAGAGTCACACCTTATAATGCTTCCATTTGCAACAGTTACTACGAAAACAATGGTCTTAACTGTAGTGATTTTGATTTTTTGCACCACCTTGATATTGATAAAGTTGTGAGTGCTTCCATTGTCAATTAAAACTATCAAATTCCTTCCCTGGCAACATCCTTCAGTCCTGATAGTATGGTGAGCATAGCTCCTAGCAAAGGCATTTTGTGAAAATCCATATCCCCTTGCTATTTCATCTTCACTTAGAATTATTTTTTTTTCACCGTCTGTAACTTTCAAGAACTCTCCATGTTCGTCTTCTAGCCTTTCCATCATATATAATCCTTTACTTATTACATTGATGCCCTGCTATATACTTATCTCCGTATTTAAAGCGCCAATATAATCTCTCTCTTTATTTTTTTGTTTATATAAGTATTTAATTGGATATTTACCAATGATTTTATCAGCAGATTTTATTAATAAAATTAATTTTATTGGTATAAATAACATGTTATTACATTTTTTAATTTTATTTTAATTATTTTTTATTATTATAATTGTTTCGGTGTATATTGAAAGAATATTTTCATCAATAATCTGTATTGTAATTTATTGTTAAAAATATTTTATTAATATTTTTATTTTATTTATTAATTTTCTAGTAATGTTTATTATAAGAAAAAGAGTCCATCTCCACCTACTGATGAATTGGTATGTAGCTCATTTTGAAAAACTTTCTACATCTCCTTAACCAGCTTTTTGGATTCTCTCCATGAAAGGTTGTTAACTCCCCTTTAAGTCAAGCTCCGTTATATCCTTTTTTGCTCTTCTTGAATCTCATTGCCCTATCTTCTCTGATTACTTCTTTGATGAGAAAGTATTCCATCTGTTTCCATACCAAGTCTACCTTCCTTGTCGCCATTTTTGTTCCCAGTAAGAATCTGTAATGTGGCTATGATGGAATCCATCTTCAATTCCAGTTGTTCATTCTTCCTAGCTTGATTATAAGCCATCTTTTGTAACTTTTCGTGTAGTTATTGTATTTGTTCATCCATCTTCCTTCCATGCTCCTCGTCAACTTTGATCTTATTGTTATCAACCATTGTATTGCGTTGATTCTACTTGATTATTCTTTGTGATCGAGGAGATCGAGCTCTTATACCAATTGTTAAGGATCTCCTCAACAAACAAGACTTTAGAAGAGAAGCGAGGGAGAAGTAGAAGAAACTGAAAAGATGTAGAAATACACTTCATTTCTTGCTTGTCTTTCAAGTTCTCCATTTACATGGACTTGTTGATTACAACTAATCTCCTCTAATCGATGCTTATATACTTGGACTGGTTGATTACAACTAATCTCCTCTAATCGATTCAAGCGACTCCAACTAGCTATAACAGCCTAATCAACTAGTTGTAACGACTTAACTACCATATCCCACCTGCAATATTCTAGTTGCTGCTCCTTCCCGCCTTTTCTTTTTGGTATCAGTCACATGTCAATTATCCTTCCTTTAAACTGATTTTGCAAGAGCAAAGTTATCATCCACATTAGTTGTCTTTAAACTGATAAAAGACATCTACAGAGATCTCTTCTATAGGAGAAAACTAACAAAAAGCTTATTTCTCTTGAGTTTTCCTTCTCTAATCATGGTTGATTACCAATAATCACGTAATTAGAGTTGTTCATGAGACAAATTTGTTCAATAAGCTAACCCAAATCCTATGATTATTAGACGGGCTTGGGTAGAGACTCTCGATGATATATGAATATCCACACACATATTTTTACCTCAGAAAACCATGGGTCTAATAAAAAAATAAAAAAAACATTTTTCTTTTTTATTTTCATTTTTTTGCCTTTTCTAACTTTTTTTTCCAATAAATTTTTCTTGCAAAAAAGTCATTTGTTGAGAACAGAGAAGAATTTTTCCATTGAAAAAATAAAAAAGTAATGGCAAGATTATAGTTATTTTTCATTAAAAAAAAAGAAAAACATAATTTATAAATCTATATAAAATATCAATTATTTCATTCAAATTAGAAATTATCATGCAAATTTTATACTTGTTAACTTAAAAAATAAATCTATATTAGAATCATAATAAAAACAAATAAATTTATAATACTAATTAAATATGAAGATAAAAAAAGAAATAATAATTTAAATTACTAAAAAATACTTGAATATAGTAAAAAAATTATATTATTCATTATTTTATTTATTTATTTATTTATTTATTTGAAAAACTTGCGATGAAAAACTATGAAAAACATTTAAAATATGTTTTATGAAAACAATACAAATCTAAAAAACTAGTACACCTAGAGAAATATTATTTTTGAGCAGTAAATTTCAAATTCTTTTTAACTTTTTTTAACAAAAAAAAAAAAAAGAACTGAAGTGTTACTTTTATCTATACATTTTTTTACAGCTAAACAACCAACATCATTTCTGGGTAAAAGGGCGACCCACCTTTCGTTTTTCAACGTCCACGCAAATCCATGAAATTTAACAGCCGGTTGGCGGGGTATGCTAACTTTTTACATGAATAATGAGCAATCTCTAGGTGATGTCCAACAAAGGAATAAGAAAGCCGGGAAACACTTCCGACCGAGAAACAAGAGTTCGGGACAATAAAAAATGACCACGTCAAATGCCCCGCCGGAGGAAATTCGGCAGAAGGAACGCCAGAAGCTCACACAACGGAGGCTTGCTACAAGACATTAGCATCCGTACCAAACAACCAAGCTACTCTCAGCAATTATGCATGCTCTTCCCAACCCCAACAGCACAAAAAAATAAATAAATAAAAGGGAAAATACAGTCTCTTATATTCAAGGCGACCAAATACCCAAGTCATTTTTCTAATGCTTGCACTTGGCTCTCTCGTTTACTGTGAACAGCAGCTAATGCATTTTGAATCACGCGGCCAACATTTCATCCGTATAATGCACAGACAACATATGCTTGTGGTGCCTGGCGACCATTAAAAATGAAACATTATAGCATAATCTTGTTATGGATGGATATCGCCGAAGCAAGAAGAACACATCCAAGGGACGAATATCACAAATTTCACCTGCATTTTATTCACAACAAAAAACGCCTTCCACCCCCCCATCATTTATGCTCATTACGTTTTAACTTCAAACCACCTATAACACTCCGCAGAAACACAGGTGAAAAGGGGGGGATAGAGGTCTTGTGACAAAAATCTCCTTTAAAGAGTATCGAGTATCCCCAAAAAAAAAAAAAAAAAAACAGAACAAAATGGTGAGACCTGAGCTGAATCAAATTAATCATGTGAAGGTTCCGAAGAAGCCTGTGATGAGTGTGGTGGTGGGGAACCAGCATGCTCAGTTGGATCATCCAAAGTCTTCGTGTTTGAATCAGAATTTTGATGCTTGTTGTAGCTTGCACCATCAGGATTCCGGATCAGATCAGGAAGTTTAGACAAGGAAACAGGAGTTGCAGATGACAGGGCTGCTTGTGCCATTCTTGGATAAGTTACCAGAGATGAATCCCTCATAGATAGAGAGGGCAGGCTCAGACTATAGCTATAAGGGTATGTAGGTAAGGGGTGATCATATCTGCAAGTTGGGCCAAACTTGCAGATTCCATACATACTGTAGTCTGGGCACACAGCTTGCCCCTGCATGTGAAAGAAGAGCAAAGAAATCAATGTTTTGCCATATAAACTCCTTTAATATAGAAATAGTTCACCAGTAAATTTAAGATTCCCACTAAATTAAAACAACCAGAATTATTCAAGCGAAATTGTTTCATGTAAGATACTGACTCCAGGCCACCAAATGTTAAGTATACAGAGAGCTTACAGGTCTCAAGGGAAGGCCAAATGGGCCCATAGTGCTGGTTGCTAGTTGTGCAATCCTTTCTTTTGGGTGATGGTACTTGCAGTCAGAACCATATTTGCAGGTCCCAGAACTCATAAAATGCCGGCATTCTGGTTGATCAGGTCTCTCAGGGAGAGCAGGAATGGCTGCTGATAACAAATGTGCCTGCCCACTAGAACCGGAGTCGCCGTGGTTTCTCGAGTCATAAGCACGGCTGGATCCCAGAATACTAGAAGAAGACATAGGGTTCGAGTTTCCCTGGTAAACAAATAAAACCATGATATGAGATGCAATAAAAAATTTAAAAATCCCTTTCCCCAAGAAAATGCAATAAGAGAATAACTAGATGCAATATTAAAAAAGCCAATGAGCAAACAAATATAAAAAGTTTGAGAGAGTTTATTGTGACTATTCCTAGGCTGCATTGCAGAACACTGCTGCATGCATATGTCCCAATACTAATTTATGAAGTCTCGGTGTCAGTTCACAACTTTTTCCACAGGGACAGGGACCTTTTTTTGTTTTCTGAGAACTAGCACCACCAGATGATGGATGCGGGAGTATCTTTATTGCATCAAATAATCTAGACAGATCAATTGTTGCTCGAGAAATAATAATAATTTCCCTTCCATAATCCCAGAATTTCAATACAAAACCACATAGGAGAACTTTTTAAATCCTTTACTTGTTTGAGTCCATCCTATAATTAATACTTTTTGAGCATGAACCTGCAGCCCAACTACCCCACTCCTCCAAAACAATTGCCTTGCCAGATAATAACAAAAAGGCAGCTAATTCTTTGATGTTGGATGTAGAGGTATCATCCTACAACTTTATTCACATTAACAAGGCAACTCAAAGTTGCAGAACTAATTCAGTCAGCATGACAGACTCAAGTAATCATACTTCTTAAGAGTTTGATTTTTAGTTAATATGATGCAGTACACACTTCAGAAAGGTGCAACGATGAAATCAATCACAGAGGGAACCAGAACACGGTGAAGTGGATTGCATTGATTATGGGCATCATAAATTCATAATGTGAAGTTCTGATAACTCACATTTTTTGGATTAAACTATGAAACAATGAAAATGCAATGACAAATCACAGAAAAACAGAACCTTCCTAACCATCATGCCACATTTATGTCAATCATTTATGGCAAAAGAAATTTTAATTACCACATAGGTGTTCCAGCCTGGTACAGGAACAATGCCTTGAGGAGGAGAAACAACAACAGGCATATAAGCCTGTGGACCCTGTAAGTGTGTACCAGACATATACGGTGGTGCTCTTGGTAATGACCATGTTGGAAGTCCACCTACATAAGGCAGACCTGAAGATGGAACAATTGGTGATCCTGTAGATCCAAAGGCAGCAGCTCCAGTAAGAGGCAAGCTAGTTCCAAGTGATGCAGGCTGGGGATGGTGGAATTTGCATGCCACTCCAAATTTACATGATCTGGTCCGCGTGTAGTAAGGACATGATTTTTCATCCTAAAAGTACATATTTCTAAGTTAGAAAGTCAATTTATCTGGTCTACAGCACTTAGTAAACATTAGGAAAGCCAGGAAAAAAACAAATCCAGATGTCAGGAAACACCTGACGCATTGGAAGGCCTAACACATTGAATGAAACTGGTCCTGCACCATTCCTGTCTCTTGGATGATGATATTTACAGGTTGATCCATATTTGCAAGTTCCTGTCTTTATATAATACTGCAATGGACATTTTGAATCAGAAAGGTATAAATTACAGAGTTTTCTGTAAGGCATTATATCTAACATGGAATTTAACTAGTATTCCCTCAAAAAAGGAATCCCTTGTGTTTACCAATAACCATTGATAAATTGTTGAGCGTCAAGTCAATCTCCTCATCTCATAGAATTCCAGACACATGTAATGAAGATCAAATCCAATCAAAATCTTTAACTCTAAATCAAGCATAATTTCTTATTTATCTAAAAAATCATGAGCTTTGAAGAAGAAAGGCTCATGGAAAACTCTAATTATTCGGGTAGACTAATGTAGTAATTGACTTCAGCCATCACAGGTATCTCAAACAACCAAATGCGATCTCTTTGTGGAGAAGAAAAAAAAAAACAAAAAGAGGCACTCATGGTAAAAGCATGATTTGACTATAGTTTCATAAGGTGGTTGATAACATATGTCGACACTAATATGTGAATTTCTCTCCTTGCATTGGATTCACCACAAAAATGTACTACTATCAATTTACCATGATAATAAGCAAGAGAAAAAGGATAGAAGAGAAACACGATAGGCATATGTTAACAGGCCAATTCTTTTTCTTTTTTTTTAATGAAATTTCCCATGGTCATCAATGAAATGAAGCTCAACTTCTTTTCAAGAGACAGGGCAAAGAAGAATTTACCCCACAGTCAGGTTGTCCGATTCTCTCTGGAAGTTCTTCTCTCAATTGAGTGCCCTGTACAGAGAATAACAAAACCAGAACCACAAACTATTGAGAAAGCTAGGTAATAGTAGAAGACATGCACATTAGACAGAATTTACATCAAGTAGGCCCAGGGCTAAACATCGAAACCACAGGTATGGGCCAAAGAGAAAATAACAAATTCTAAAGCAACGATGCATTTTACCTGGGCAGCATAAATAGGATGATTATAACGACAATTGCTTCCATAACCACAAAATCCAGTCCTTAAAAAATATCCACAATCTGGCACGCCAGGACGATCCGGGTATGGACTTGATTGAGCCATACCACCTTGCTCTTGAGGATCATGTATCTTCAAACGCCAAAATGCTTCTGCAACACATAACAAGGCCAAAGAATCAAGTTAAAAGCCCTCACAGCCTACACAAGGATTACATCATTAACTAGAGCACCTGTCCACAAAGCCACATGAGAAACTAATTAGCAAAAGTCTGTAACAAGTTTGGACTTCCCAAACCAAAAGGAACCACATAATATAGATCAAATTATTTACTACAATAACAGAAAAGTAAAAAGAAACCCACATTAATTAATAATTTGCTAAAACACACAAAACATCAAAGAAAGTAACAAACTTTCCAATTCCAGCAACATTAGGAATCACAATAAAGAAACAGGAATCCGCAAAAGCTTCATTTCATCAATTTATACATTGATTGCATCAAGCGCCCCCAAAACTCTTGATACCAAAAACCCACCAGTGATCAACAAATTGATAACAAAGCCAGTTACAACTTGCCTAAACCATATAATACGATTACAAACACAAATCAATAATTACAGTTTTTTTCCAGACAAGACAAAAAGAGGCCAGTAACTTGTAGCATGTTCCTTAATCAACCATCCACAGCAAAAATATGCATCTGTAATTGTTGATGACAGCAACAAAAGCAAACTACCAGACCATGATCACATCACTTTAGAAAAACCCAAAAAGGCCCCAAAAAAAAAAAAGAGGCAGATCTTCACTGCCTCAAGGAAAGAGTACACACATAAATATGATGCTACTACCTACCTTCAATGTTATCAGCAGATTGATTTGACACAGCATTGCTCTTAACCTGCCTGTTGTTGTGGTCTGGCATCACAGCACAGTTTCTATGAAGCAATAATAAAGCGTTTTCTTTTTATGTAATTTATCAGTAATTTCAGTTTCCACTTAAAAGCAACAATCAAAACTAACCCCTAATTAAGAAATAGATAAACAACCCAAATTTTCATTCCTCAACACAAATCATCTAACCCCGAAAAGAAAAGGAAAAAAAAAGGGTTTCTTTATTTTGAAAGAAAAATATCAATAAAATATCTTGTATGAGTTATGGAGGTAATGTGTGAGAGAGATTGAGATAAGTAAATGAAGAAGAAAAGGAAGAATCCAATAGTGTAAGAAATATATTCCAGTTAGATTTTATAAATAAATAAATAAAAATAATAACCTCTCCCTTTTACCCTTTTAATTCTTTATTTTTTTGAATTTTCTTTTGATTTCTGTGGAGTGATGGGAACTGAGTTGGGATCTCCTCCTCTATTCGAAGGAGTGTGAAACCATTTAACATAAAGTAAGTTCTCGTTCGTGTACGAATTCTATTTATTGTCTGATGAATTTACCATTTTGCCTCCAAAGCGGGCTAACCTTTTTATTTCTGTTATTAGCCAACGGTTTTTGTTTTTTAAGTTTAAAACGTGTTTTAAAATTATTTTAATATATTTATTAAAAATAAATTTAAAAAAATATTTTAATATATTTCTAAAAATTAATTGATGATTACTTTCAGTAAAAGGAAGACCTCTGCACCGTTGATTGCTGCTTTGCGGAGAAATGGATCCCGTCCAAGTTTTCTTTGGAAGTTAGATTACCAGAGTACCCCTGCTGTGAAATCCATGCTTCGTACATTTAATTATTAATTAATTAATCCGTACTGGTGTTCGAATCAAAATGTTTTTAACTTAATAAATGCAAAGCTATTGTGAATATGTTATGAAATTATGAAAAAAATTTAATTATAAATAAAAAATTTAGTGTATATATTTAATAAAAAATACGAACAACATGTTCCAATAAGTGTTATAAGAGGTTGTTAATGCTATGTCACGAGCGGGATTTTAAGTTAATTTTTAACATAATTAAAAAAATTAATATTACAAATATGTTTCATTATACCATGATTTATATAATTAACAAATTTAAAGATATTATTTGCACTTGATAAAATAAATTTAAATATGTATAAACTAATAAATTCAAAAAATTGTCAATATTAAATTGAAAATTTAATTTTTCTTATAAAAAAGACAAATAGGTAAGTAAATACTTAATTTATATCCTCAATTTTTCTTTTAATTTATATATTTTAATTATTTTACCTTAAATATTATCTTTTCTTAACAAGAAAAAATTATTTTTATTTTTATAAATACATCAAATAAATACGGTTTGTTTTATATCAAATATGAAAGAAAACATAAAGAATTATTTTTATTTTTATAAATACATCAAGTAAATACGGTTTTTTTTATATCAAATATGAAAGAAAACATAAAAATAATTCATAATATATTTTTGAAACATTGTAAAAAACCAAAAAACTAAATACCATTTAAAAAATAAGCTAAATAATTTAAAAAATAAAAGAGAGGGTACCAGTTTAAATGTAAATAAAAAAATTAATGTAAATTAAATGATATATTAAAAATAATTAAAATTTTAAAAAAATAAATCAAGATTAATAAAAAACAAAAATAGTCATAGATGGGCTGAGCAACCCAGGTTTGCATGCATGGCCAATTACCTAAGAGGCCAGAAGTACCTAGGTTGTTTTTTCTCTTATAAAATTGATGACGTGTTGAGTTTTTTTTATTATTATTATTTTAGATTGGATAACAAGTTGCAAACGAGCTATCATTTTTTATAATATTTTTTAATTAATTCTCGTGATTGAAAAATCAAAATTTAAGTATGAGGATTTTAAATAATTATATATCAATTTACTTTTATTTAAAAATATCAATAAATCAATTTTTCATCCCAAAATACCCCTAAATCTACCTTTTTCTCTTATAATATAAAAGGCAAAAAAAAAAATTAAAAAAATTTTCTAGTTGAATGGAACTCATTCATTTTTTAAAATTTTCTAGTTGAATGGAACTCATTCACATCAAAAATATATTATTTTTGTTGCTAAAACATAGATAACAAATGATTTTTCTCTCCTCTATTATTTTTCAGTGTATCTCTCCTTTATTTCAAATTTAAGAGTTAAAATATGAATAAAATAAAGTTTATGATCAAAATAATAAATTGTAAAACTAAAAACATCAAAAATAATTTTGGTAAATTTTTTAAAGGCAAAAATCTTTTAAAATGCATGTTTTAGTTAGTTAAAAAATAAAATAAAAAACCTTTGTATTGTTGCTTCATATTCAATATAACATCTCAAAAGCTTTATAAAAAAATTATTTAGCACAATTTTTTACTAACATGAAATAAAAAAGTTGAATTAAAAAAATGATAAAATAAAAAAATTTCCAAGTAAATCCATAATCTATTTGTGGGTAAACATTCAATTGATGAAAAAAATGAAATTAAAATAAATATAGGGCTAAATAATTTTTTATAAAGTTTTTGAGACGTTATACTTGATTTTGTAAAAAAAAACATTTTTTATAAAGTTTTTGAGATGTTATACTTGATTTTGTAAAAAAAAACATTTTCTTGTATAAAATAACATTTAAAGACTAAATTGAGTTTGAAGCAACAATACAAATGTTTTTTATTTTATTCTGGACCAACAGCAGATTTATATGACATCATCACGTCAAGTATACTCCAACATCAAAAGAGACGGGGGTGTTTATGTCTTTTGGTTTATCATTAATGGACAAAAAAGTAGGCGTGAGTATCACATGGTTTAATACTTTGGTTCTGTAAGGAAAAAAAAAAAAAAACAATTAGAAAAGAGAAATCGTCACCGTCAAAGAGCGCGAACCTGAGTGGGCGGCGATGAGATGTGGGCCATCGGGTTTGAATTCCAGGTGGGACCCAAATCAAGTTCCACCTGCTCACAGGCACCGAAATGACAAGGCTATCCCGGTAGTACAGTTATTTCTTCAGCGGTGATAGCGATGTAGGGGCATTTCAGTCATTGAAAAAGTATAAGGCGCAAAATCACTGAAAAATATCTCCTCGACGATTAATTGATGGGTTTTTTTTTTTTTTTTTACCTGGCTGTAGGAAGAAGATGCGAAAAATCGTCGCCGTTAATAGGTGGGAGTGATATGGACCGTTGGATATGAATTTCTTTTATTTAATGAGGTCAGGGAACCCATAGATCCCGGGAAGTGGAAAGAAAAGAGCTTGTCTCGGACTCGCTCCGTAGAGGAGGGTAGTGGGTCCCGACATTCATCGGATTGTCATGGCCAATGAAAGCGCGTATTTTTATTTATAAATGTATTAAAATAATAATTTTTATTTTTAAAATTTATTTTTAATATCACCTACTAAAATATTTGAAAATAAATAAATTAATTTGAAATAAATAAATTTTTTAATTTTCTTAAAAAATATTTTAAAAATATAAAAAATATGGACTAGAATTAACTACCAACGTACATCATTCAACTCCGTTTAAACAACCCTATCATTTTTATGTTTGCTATAGAAGATTAAAAATAACAAGAAAACGACATTTTCCTTCGGTAATTTCACGGTGTCATTATTTGTTATGTAACTATCTGGGGGCGTTAATGTCACTGTATGGTCTTCATCGCTGAGACCATATATGTTCCTGGTGTCTGCCCTATACTGCGGGATGCGGGTTTGTATTATTTTCCTAGTAAAATATTTCACCATCGCAAGTATATTTTAGTCTCGATAAATTAAATAAATTGATTTTAATTAAATTATATCAAAAAAATAACAATAACAAAAAAAACATATATGTAAAACTGATCAGTGAGAACCAAAAAAACAATACAATATCAACTTGAATTAAATACAAAATTTAAAATAACAAAACTTTTATAAAAAAAGTTTAAAGAAAAAAAATAATAAAAATAAAGATCAAATTAAAAACAATGATGTATGATCAAATAAATATTAACATGTTGAATTTTTTAAACATATTTTTTATATAAAAATTATAAATGTAAATAAAAAAATTTATATATGCATCTAATTAAATAAACCACTAATCATTATGTAAATAAATAGAAAAAAAGTAATCAGTAATATATAAAAACATAATTAGAAAAATTAGCATACCAATATAAATAAAGATATTTAATATCGTAATACGGGTCATTTAACTAATTGTATAATAAATTTGTTTATGAAAAATAATTTTTAATAAAAAATGACACACGCATAAAATTTATTAAATAGAATAAAATTTAAAAAACAAATACTATGCAAGGTTGCTCATATTAAAGATTTTATAAAATAATATGTAATCTATATAAAATACATAAAAAAATTACAAATAAATTATACTGACATCTAAAAAAACTAAACACGTCCAATATAATTAAAACATAACCGTTAATCAAGAAATGCAGAAATGCTAAAGAATCCAAAAATACCATAGAGATGATGTATTAATTAAAATTTAAAACTTATAACAATTATTTAAAAAAAACACATATAAAAAAGCCAATAATATATGAAAAAAACTAAAAAATAAAAAAAATAAAAGTTAGGCGGTATTGGGTATGATAAGCTAGCTCAACACCTAGCCTAATCAAGACAAGGTTTGCATGCACCTTTAATGTTTTTTAAAGTTTAATGGGACGAATGATATGATTTTTTGATAAAAATAGATGAAGTATTGTTTGGAAATTCTAGAATTTGGCTATTGATGTGACCAGAAAAACAAGGTTGTTTTGTTTTATAAAAAAACTCATTTTGACCCAACTATCTAGAAAATACCCTGGGAGTCCTGTTAAACCAATTCATAGCCTTCAAAAACACAAAAACCCGATCCAAAACCCGAAACTATCCTGAAATAAAAAATCCTCCCTAGTTTAGATATATTTTTTAGATGTTTTCTGAGATATAATAACACATAATCCTAATTCTTCTCGTCATATGAAATCATTTAATACAAGATTTGATAATTTTTTTGGCCAAATCTTTCCCATCACTAACTTTTTATCTATAGTTCAGAATCTAGCAATCTTCTCTTTCTCTTTCATTAAAAAAAAAAACTAAAAAATAAATAAAATTTGACATCAAATGTGTTTTTAAATATTACAAAGACCGATATAACAAATACATATAAAAAATGCATATGAACTTTTTAAATCAATTATAGATCTGCCATCAATTTTACCCGAATTTTTAACCTAAATATTTTATTTTTCAGTTTAACTATCACCTCTTAAAAGACATGCAATTAGTTTTTAATGGGCTT